GACGAAAAATCATTACGCAGTCTAAAGCCACTTGTAATCACGAGCTTTTATTGTAAAAACTTCTCTCTCTCTAGATTGTTTGAATAGCTCTTTGAGGGATTATTCTGTATGCGGCGATAACAATAGGATGCTAACCAGAGCTCGCAGCACACAGCAATGCTCAACAGCCTCAGAAAGACATATCCTTGGAAGCAGGGTCTAATGGAGCTGCATGCACCACACAACACTTCTTTTTCCATCCTGCCGGGGGGCGGATATGCACCCTCGGCAATCATGAGCAGTGGGTTTTTCTAATCAGTCATCTGGGACGCAGTGCCGGGCAGGAGACGCCATATAGGATTGCCGGCAGAAAGACAGCGTGCTGATGCTTCGCGCATCTCCTGGCTGCAAGTTTCCTTGGCAGCCCACGAGCTGGGGTCTGCGCGGGGGAGACTGAGCGTGTGGAGGTGCCTTCGTCCCAGCCCCCCGTCTTCCTTCCAGGGGACATGGGCTGCATCGGCTTGCCTTGCAAGAAGCCGGGAACAAAACTGAGACTCCTGCCCCCAGCCAAGTCCATGGCGTTGTGACATTTCCAGTCCCACGGGGTCACCATCCCAGCCCAAATGTGAACTCCAGGCTGGGGCAGGGGAAAATGCAACCACCTCTTGGGTGGGTGCTCACCTGGGCTCCTTTCCAGCTGGAGCCTCCCTCCCGGGGCGGTATTATCAGAAACGTATCCAGGAGAGAGAGGTCAGAGAAGCGTGACATGGGCCTGCGGGGTGGAGGTGATGGTCGAATGTGCCCATCTTGGCTGAGTGATACCAAGGGACCTGGCACACGTCCGCGAGGGGCAGCAGGGGAGGTGATGCTTAAGGGCAACCAGCATGGGTTCATTCGAGGCAGGCCCTGTCAGACCAACCTGGTGCCTTCTACGACCAGGTCACACAATGTTTAGATGCAGGTGTCACGGTAGATGAGTCAACACTGTCTCTCACCCCATTCTCGTTAAAATAACTAGGGGACTGTGGTATCGACACCTGCACGGTCAGATGGGTCACTAACGGGCTGGAGGGCCGCACCCAGAGCATGGTGGTGGACGGGTCCTATTCGACCTGGAGGGACGTGGGCAGTGGGGTCCCCCAGGGCTCGGTCCTCGGGCCCGCGCTGTTCAACATCTTCATCAGCGACTTGGACGAGGGGGTAAAAAGCACCCTGTTCTAATTCGCAGATGACACTAAGATGTGGGGAGAAGTGGGCACGCTAGAAAGGAGGGACAGGCTGCAATCAGACCTAGACAGGTCACAGGGGTGGGCGGATGAGAACAGGATGGGTTTCAACACTGACAAGTGCAAGGTGCTGCACGTGGGGGGGAAGAACCAGCAGCAGACCTACAGACTGGGGAGCTCCCTTCTCGTCAGTGCGGAGGCAGAAAAGGATCTTGGAGTCATTATTGATGCCAAAATGAACATGAGCCAGCAGTGTGGGGACACGGTCAGGAAGGCCAACCGTACCTTGTCGTGCATCCACAGATGCATCTCGAGCAGGTCCAAGGGGGTGATCCTCCCCCTCTACGCAGCACTGGTCAGGCTGCAGTTGGAGTACTGCGTCCAGTACTGGGCGCCGCACTTCAGGAGGGATGTGGACAGCACGGAGAGGGGCCAGAGGAGGCCACCCGCATGGTCAGGGTCAGCAGGGCAGGCCCTACGAGGAGAGGCGACGGGACCTGAACCTGTTCAGCCTCCACAAGAGAAGGCTAAGGGGGGATCTGGTGGCCGTCTATAAACTTACCTGGGGGACCAGCAGGCAATGGGAGAGTCCCTGTTCCCCCGAGCACTACCGGGGGTAACAAGGAATAACAGTCACAAGCTGGCAGAGGGTAGATTCAGGCTAGGTATCAGGAGGCGATACTTCACAGTCAGGGCGGCCAGGATCTGGAACCAACTTCCAAGGGAAGTGGTGCTGGCTCCTACCCTGGGGGTCTTCAGAAGGAGGCTGGATAGACACTTGTGCGAGTGCCCGAGCGCCGGTGCACGCACATTTGTGGGGCGAAATCCAACTCGACGAGTGGCGTGACCTGACCTGACCTGCTGCGGGATTCATTGCCTCCACCTCCTCGCAGGGTCTGGCAGAGCACCGAGGGTCTTGCGGGGCGCATGCCGGCCCCTGCTAGCATTGCCAACCCTCCAGCCCCGTGGGCGGGCGGCTGAGAGACCCGGGTGAAGCCCGGCCCTGGTGACCACCACGAGCAGGGTGGTCTCTGGCGAGGGACGACCGGGAGAAGCTCTGTGGCCAATTCAGGCCTTTTGAAAATAAAGTCACAGGTGGTTTCATCCCAATCCCTGGTCAGCGGGAGACCGTGGCCCTCAGTCTGGACGGGACCCCTGGGTCATCCAGTCCAAGGCAGGATCTTGCCTCTCTGAACCACCCTGCACAAATCCTGCCCAAATGCTCAGGCACACAGGCACAAGGCACAGCACGCAACCTGCCCAGGTGATGCAGGGGCACGGCGGTGCTCAGCATCCCGCTGCCACGAGGGTTGTTGAAATATGCTGGGGAGATGCAAGGACGAGGGCCTTGCTTGCACGTGGTGGCAGGGGGACGCTGGGGAGAAGCTACCGGCCACCTGGCTCTGGCCACGAGGGGCTGAGAGCGCCGATAAAGCAAGTGCAAACCAGGCATCGGCTCCGGGTCCCTCTGCTCGGATGTGACTAACGGAGAGAGCCATAAATGAAACATTTCCTCTGCCCCGAATTACCCGTGATTGCCTAATCAAGCCCCATAGACCCACAGACAAAGTCTCTCCAGGGGGCCCATCATTCTTGCCATAAGGTTAAATAAGATTTCAATTAAGCGACACATCAAATTGTGAGACCAGCTGCTTAGACACTGCCTGTCTCCAGCAATCGCTGCTAAGCGTTTAAAGCCGAAGCTGTGGCTGCCTACATATGCCTCGACATTTAAAGACTAAACTCCTTTTTGTCCGTCCTGGTCGTCCTTTAGCTGTCACGCTGCGCCGGCAGCCGGCACGGCCCCTCGAAGGCGGCTCAGGAGCAGCGCTTCCTAATGATGACTTGGAAGCAAGAGCAGCGAAGCCAGGAGAGCTCGGGCTTGGGGGAGCTCAGCATTTCCCCCGCACGGGAGCCGTGCCATGTTTGCCCGGAGGCGCCCAGGCTGCCCCCAGCCCTCCCAAAAGACCAGCACGTCCCGGGGCAATCAGGGCTTGGTGCTGGCTCCGGGGAAAGGGCGTTCAGACGTGGGCTTCGAACCGCCTGGCTTGCTGCTCAGAGCATCCTGCTCCTCGGATCTGTTTTGCAGCTGCGGTTGCAGAAGGGGACTGGAGGCTTCTTGCCAGCTCTGGCACTGACACCCCGCGGGCCCTTGGGCAAGTCACCTACCTTCTCTGTGCCTCGGTGCGAGGCAAGCGTGCAAATCCATACCAGGGGCTGGGCTGAGAGGCAGCTCCCCGCACACGAAGAGCCTCAGATGCGGCGCTCCAGGAACGGCCCATCCATGATTATACTTCTGCCCTGCCCTGCCCTCGTAGCCGGTGTGTGACATGCACACCGCAGATTATTCCCAGTGCACGTGTCAGCTCTCCCACGGGGCAACAAGTGCCCCCGGGCCACGTGGCGCTGCGTTTAGGCACAGCCCAGAACCGCT